AGAGCCTAAAAAAGGTCGTTGCACAGGTGCGAGACCACCAGCTCCTGCTCGTTCTACTGCAGGGCCATAAAGTGGCAATGCTTACTCAAGCAGATCAGAAACACAGTATCAGGCCAAGGTGTTGGGCCTGGAGATGCTGCTGGAACCGCTCCAGCTGCACTTCTGTTTCACACAAGGTATTTGAGTCACTAACACATTCCCCAGATTAATGATCTCTCCCATCTGCTGCCTTTCCATGCAGAGAAGAGCTGTCAGAAACTGTGCATGAAGTCATCAGCACCCACTGTCTCTTCCTCAAGAGGGAACTGAATTCTCCTGCTAGGATGGGATGAGGTGGTTGCCAGTCCCACAGGTAGTGTGGGAATGAGAAGAAAGCAGAAAGGTCCTAAGCTGCTTGGAGTAGCTCTGCACTGACTTTCACCTTTTCCCTGTGATTAATTTCAACTCTACCTTGTCCTGCGTGTCACAAGCCCAGGCTGGGAGATGGAGTTGAGGAAGAAAATGTCTAGAACCGCAGGATGATCCCCAAAGGGACCTTGACATCCAGAGGGACCTAGACAGGCTTGAGGAAAGGACCCATGTGACCCTTATGAGGTCCAACAAGGCCAAGTAGGAGGTCCTGCATCTGTGTTAGTCCAAGTCCCAATATCAATAGAGACTAAGGATGTACTGATTGAGAGCAGCCCTGCTGAGAAGTACTTGGGGGTGCTAGTGGATGAGATGCTGGACAGGAGCCAGCAATGTGCACTTGCAGCCCACAAAGCCAAAAAAGCATGACCAGCAGGTTGAGGGGAGTGACTCTCCCCCTCTACTCTGCTGTCATGAGACCCCACCTGGAGTATTGAGTCCAGCTCTGCATCCTCAGTACAGGAAAGACATGGACCTGTTGGAGCAGGTCCAGAGGAGGCCATGAAGATGGTCAGAGGGCTGGAGCACTTCTCCTACAAAGACAGGCTGAGAGAGCTGGGGTTGTTCAGCCTGAAGAAGACCAGATTCTGGGGAGATCTTACTGTAGTCTTTTCATACAAAAAAGGAGTTTATAAGAAAGGTGCAGAAAGATTTTTTACCAGGGCCTGTAGTGACAGGACAAGAGGCAACAGTGTTCAACTGAAAGAGGTTAGAGTTAGATTAGATCTAAGGAAGAAATTTTTACAATGCGGATGGTGAGGCACTGGAACAGGTTGCCCAGAGAAGTTGTGGATGCCACATCTATGGGAAGTGTTGAAGGCCAGATTGGATGGGGCTTTGAACAACCTTGTCTAGTGGAAGGTGTCCCTGTCCATGGCAGGGCACTTGGAACTAGGTGCCTTTCAACCCAAAGCCATCTATGATTCTATGATAAATCTAAACTGCAAATGAAAATACCCTTTTTCAATAGAAATATATTCCAAAATGGAAGTGAGAAAAAGAATAAGAAGGGCCTGTCCTTTGGTAAATATCACCTATGTCTAGCTAGTTCCTGCAGGAAGTGTTTCCTTCAATGTCTGTTGATAGGGTGAGAATTCCATATCTAAGAATGCCAAGTGGAGGAGCAAAGGTATTTAGTGCTAAGGAAGGACTTGTTAGTATTGACTGAATAACATGAACCACAATAGAAACATTTTGTTGATTCGACTGGTGTTCAATCCTTGGTGAAGTACTTTATTGATGACTTCTACGTGTAATGTGTCAGAAAAGAGCTGAGAGTTTGACTTGGGGATGCTGGCTAACAATGGTGTGATTTGGGAAGGTTTAACTACCATATTATGCTCCCAGTGCATCTCTGACTTCCGAGTTCAGTTACTCGTAATGTGCATCAGACACATATTTTCTTATGAGAGACTTTTTTTTTGATGTTTTGTTAAGCAACTAGTTCTCTCTGCAGTGCACCGTTCTAAGAGAAAATTTCCATTGATTTGAAGTTATTTGAAGCTGGATTTGGAATAACAAATATTTGAACACTTCTGAAGCTGTTATGAGAAACGCACTTTGTACAAATTTCTTCCGCAGAAATACGAAGTGGCTGAAAGCCATAAAAAGATGTGAAATTCTTCGATGGCCATGCAGCACTTGGCAAACCTACGCTTTTTGTCCCCTTATGTATGCTTGTAATTCTTGCTCTCTACCAGGATCATAGTTATAGATACTATGGGAATGGCAATTTCACCTAGGCTGTGACTCCCCTCAGCACTAAGCAAAAGTTTTATTCACTCTGGTGCTTACATCAAGAGCTTACACAGTATTTAAGGATTTGAGGGTCTTGTAGCTCTGGACTCAGGGGCAAAATTCATCCAGTGTACTTAGCAGTTTTTTCCATAGCTCTTCTACAGCACTTTCCTTCTGAGGATACAAAGTGATTTGCAAACATTAATTAATTTTCATAAAGCCCTATGAGGCAGATAAGTGTTAAGTATCCCCGTGTTAGTACATATGAGAAACATGAGACCTGAGTGCCTTATCATCCATGCTGTTCACTATATTCGCTCCCCAAAAAGGAATAAGTGCCTTGGGACAGAGGAAATCCCCTTTTTTTTTCCCTAATTCTGTTATTTCTCTTGGACCCTCTGGAATCCTTCAAGGGCAGCAGGGATGAGGCTGGGCTTCAAGCTACGATGTGTGAGATTCAAGCTCACAGACTGAAAAAGCAAGTGAGCCTTCCTGTATTTGCTGCTGGTTTGGGGGGCAAAAGCAAGGCCCTTTTTGCAACCTGTGAATTACTTGCTCTGTGCTCCAGCACCCCGTTTGAAAGGTAGCTTGGACTGCCAAAGTATCAAACACCCCTGAAAGTGCAGGCATACTTGTGGGCTACCAAGAGCAACAGAGCCAGACAGCAAACGGAGGGAGAGGAATAGCCCCAACTGAAGAAGTAGCCCCAACTGGATCCCACCTGTCTCACTGAGGAAAACTGTAGTCTTTTGAAAGAACAACAGAGCCCTGGATGCTCTAAATTAGTGGTTTTCCTCTAGGTAGCTTTAGTCAGGTTAGCACAAACAGGGCCTAAAATGACTTTTCCAGTTTGTTAATTAACCTTAGGAGCAATTTACAGCACGGCGACCAGTGATGCTGGAAATGGAGTCTTGGCCTTACTGAGGGCAAACGGCAGCTATATGAGACACGTCAAAGTAGCCGAATTTTCATGCTAACAGTATTGGCTGAGAGACTTTGTTCTGTATTTTTTGAGACAGACTAAACATAAGATCATCCAAATGCTTTTCTGAAAGCATTCTGACAAATTTTCTGTGGTTACATGCCTTCCCAGCCCTTGATGCACAGTACATAAGCTAATGTAACAATTATAATCATGATACTCGTCAGACCAACCATGCCTTTTTAAGACATGAAAATCGGACTAATTCCTTAGTTTCAAACACAATGAGTTCAAATATGTGTATGCTAACAAAAATATACCAAAATGAGAGGCATGTTAGGTCTGCAGCAGCCAAACTTCGGTTCTTATGTTAACAAGTCCACATTCTTCAAGCATTGTTTGTATTTCTACTGTGCCAGGAGATTTTATTCTTCAGTTTGAGGATTCTCCCTGAATGGGGGAGGGAAATGTTGCTATCACTCTGAAAAAGAAACATTTCTTTCTGACGTGTTAAGCATTAAGAGGATTATGTAAAGGCAAGGCATATTGCAGAAGGAGATGTTCTTAATATAGCTTTTACCATGAACCCATGACCCACCAGAAAATTTAGGAGAGTTAAAAAAACCTATTGCTTTGACAATCTTTTAATTTTAAAAAATCTTCTAGTAAAAAGATCAAGGAATTCATCCACTGTTATTTACATAAAATTCAACCTTTCCTGCCTAAATCATGAATCATTTAATGTCACATCTGCAGGAACTCTAGGCAGACGCCATTAATCCAAGTTATTTTGCAAATTCCAATTTCATTTGGATTAAAAACTACTACTAAGTCAATGAATAGTATACACTGTACATGCTTTAAGGCTGGTGACTGCTAAAGTCTCTTGGGTAGATAAACTAAGTACAGATTAGCCAGGTCTAAGTATATGTTCTCATCTAGGGAAGAAAAGATATCCTGACATTTCAGTGATGTAGATTTGAATCAGTAGCCATGAAAAATGGTTGAACATTTGTATTACAAAAGAGATACTATGGCACAGTCCCAAAGGTGCATTTCATATAAATTAGTTAGCTACACAAATTATTTTGACAACAGCTACTGCACTTCTGAGGTGATATGGCTGCTCAGTGATGAGTACTTGATGATCAATGGTAGGCACTAGTCATATCCTTCATGCCGAGTGACTTTTATGACTATTTAGATTTACAGTATATACATACGTGTATCTACACTTAGGGCTTGATCTTCTTAACCTCCTTTACCTACGGTCCTCTGTTCACTATAATCTCTTCCTTTGGAGCCCTGTGGTATTTGGACAAAAGAAATAGGCAAACAAGAGGTTTGGGTATCCTGTCGTGTGACAGGGAGGACATATCTGACTTTTGGCCACAATTGAACCTCTGCATATGCTTTGTTCTTACCTGTCACTCATGCCATGATGGAATACTGTAAAGGATTAAGGCCAAGGAGTCTGTATGATCTTGCTCTCTGTGAGGATCCTATAGGCTGTTCTGCATTTGTCACATCCACCTGCAATACCTAATTCCTTTGAATCCATCCCATTTCTTTACCAACCCTTACTGCTTCAGAAGCCTCTATAAGCAAATTTCTCCCTCCAGGCATGATCTGGAAAAGCAGAGACTGAGGGGAGACCTCATTGTGGTCTTCAACATCCTCATGAAGGGACTTTGAGGCGCAGGTATCGATCTCTTCACTCTTGTGACCAGTGACAGGACTTGAGGAAATTGCATGAAGCTGAGTCGGGGGAGGTTTGGGTTGGATATCAGGAAAAGGTTTTTTCACCCAGAGAGTGGTTGAGCACTGGAACAGGCTACCCAGGGAAGTGGTTACAGCACCAAGCCTGACAGAGTTCAAGAAGCGTTTGGACAACGCTCTCAGACACATGGTGTGATTCTTGGGATGTCCTGTGCGGGGCCAAGAGTTGGACTCGATGATCCTTGTGTGTCCCTTCCAACTCGGCATATTCTGTGATTCTGTGATTCTTCTGGATTGTATGGAATGACTTCTTACTTTCTCAAAATGAACCTGGACATTGCTATGGCACAAAGAAGCCTGCATATTCCCGGACTTTTACAACAGACTAAAATGAGTCATTGTTTTTCAAGGAGCCCCGAAGAAAGACAGTCTCCTCTGGTCCTATCCAGAACACACTGAGTGTCTCAGTGTGAAGAGCCTAATATTATTCAGGTTCTTAAGGTGGAGTATATGCTTAACTGGACCAGACCTAAAAGTCACATGCACTTTTTCAGACCAGGCCCTAAGAAGATGAAATGAAGTATTTGTTGTCACCATGCCACATTCAGTCATCTAATCAGCCACAACCCTCAGGCAAATAGCCTGAACAGAAGAGTATTCTAAATAACCTCACCAAAATAGTATAGCTGCAAGAAACCCTATGGAGAGAAAGCCAAACCCTCTAATCCATTCATCCTGTTGAACCACCAGAAATCAAGGCTCAGCATTCTCATCAGACAACACAGATGATGCCCGCACAAACACTAAAAACCAGTGTGTTTTTCCATGGAAACAATGAGTATTCAGCCAAAATAATTCAATATGAGAACAACATACAGGAAAGAACAATCATCTGCAAGAGATCCTTAATACTTGGAAATGTTACAACAGAACAGCATTAATTCTTGCATTTCTTTGAAGTTTCTTGACATATTATATACATATAAAGAGTTCATCATGATTAATAAAAATATCCCGATCTTAGTAAAATAAACATGCTTCAAAGTTCCATCTTTGAAACTCAAATGCCACATGTGCAAGAAAACTAAACTCCATTTAAGGCAAGTAATATATGTCACTTCTAAAATTTCTCAACATTAAATAGCAGAAAGGGCTCCCAAAACCCCAAACTTATCTGAAGATAAACATCATAGGCACTGTCAAAGAAAACAAAAGCTAATCTAACTGGAATTTCACTTTCCTGATCTGAGGAGAAATTCCACAGTACCTTCATATGGTATTGAAGCAGCTGACAGAATCTGTTGCTACTAGTCTAGTATATCCTGACAGACTTCCACAGCTGGAGATTAGGCAAGTGATAAACAGAAAGGCACCGATCAAGTTCTCCACGATACTTGTGATGAAACAAACTGTGCTCCTTCTGGGGTGGGTAGCAGCCAGGGTTAAGAGTGACAGGAGGACTCAGAGGTTGTGTATTTTGTCATTTAAAGGCATGTACGTGTTCACTCTTAGAGCCAGCCACCCTCTAACACTCAAGTCCATGCTAAGAGGTGACCACAGCTGAGCTCAGGACTTCTCTTGTGGGGGAAGTATCTGAGCACTGATGGGCACATAAATATCGTCTCAGGATGTCTTGGGGCTGAGCAGTTCCTTGGTAGCTACCCTGCTGAGCTGCTCCAAAGAACACAGTGAAGGCTCTGAGCCTGAGCAATAGCTGGAGTTATGCTAAGCAGCCTCGCCAAAATCACAGCTATTGGGGCTCAGGGTGCTCACCAGCCCACTCTTTACATACAGCCTGTGCTACTGAAGATGTTTTACTGAGAAATCATGCTGCATTGTTTGGTACCTTTCTTCAAAATGCAGCTCTTCAAAAATGGGGGAGGAAAAAAAAGGCAGCAAGGACCATTTAATCAACCATTTATATCAGTAGCTACTTCTACTTGTATCTTCTATTGAAAGTGTCTTTTGTACTCAAATTTCCTTAATATGTCTGTAAATGAGATCAGAAAACAATAATGAAAGGGTCCAGCTAGTGACTCGGACAAGAACAGTCCATTGGAAGTCACTGGAGCTGATGATTTGAGTAAAGGCTGCAAATCTGATTGCAAAAAAATTATATTTCCGATACAGAAAAACACCCCCAAATATGTGAAAATCAATGAAAATGAACAAAAATGCACTGAATGCAAGCACAGTTGGTATGAACTGGCCTTGACCTCAGCTGACCCAAATTAAACTCCAATTACTGTGGGATTAATTCTTCTGGCATGAAAAACACAGCCTGTCAACAAGAACTGAAAACATCCCATAAATCAAGAAGCGTTAAAGCCTAGTTGAGGATTATGCATGGAGAGTGAGAGGATTATGATAGGAAACAGTTCTTAGCCTGATGAGCAGCAAACTCAGCTTCCCAGATAAAGGAAATTGCATGTAATGCTCCCATACAGCTTGGAAGAAAATGCTGCAAGCTTCTCCTAGATGAAAAAGATATGCAAGTCAAAATCTGCAGGATGAAGCCTTCTCATGCAAAGCCAACAACTGTTATAAATATCTGTCTGTGTGTGTGTGCAGCTGAAATTAACGCATTTTCTTTCCTAAGTGGATTGCTGTTTGCCATATTTTTTCATTATCTATTTACTGTCAGTAACAAAATACAATTTTCCACTGTCTCTTTTAAGTTCTTGCTATCAGCATATCTGTTTTCAGGCCTTTTGCTTGATACCGTAGGTTGTACTGTTGGTGAGGAACTGAATGAGAGATAAAGTTACTTAAAAAGACAGGAGATAAAGAAACGCATGCAATTTGTTGAAACTTATTGCACATGAAGGAATGCCATCTTTGACTGACTTAATGGGGCTACGCAACTCCTCTCTGTGCTCCACTGGAGAAGTAACAGGGAGATGGCCCATTAATACTGAAACTTCTGTGACATGCCCATGCTCGCCGTAAAAGTTCTCCGTGCCTTTAATTTGCCCTCATTCATTCCAGGTCAGGAAGGCCCTTGTGTATGTGCTTAAGCTCTGCTGAAGTCATCAGGATTTCAGTACCAGCTTAAAGTTAAGAATCTGTTCTGAGCTTTCCTGAATAGGGATCTGTGCTTATTGCACTCGGCTCAATCAACCCATGAGATTTTGGTTTTTGAGTTTTTTAGTACAAGAATAGAAAGGATATGTTTTGTGCATCAAGATCAGTTCTTTATAGTATTTCTAGTGTATGAAAATGTTTGGAGAGTGATGTAGAACAAACAATTCATTCTGAAGAGACATCACTGTATATTGTACCGCTGCACACATACAAGTCTAAAGTCAGAAAAATTTTGCTCAATATTGAAGAAATATTCACCTTTGTTTGTATCAATGCTGTGGCTGACTATTTCTGTAGCACAGTGTCCAGAATAACTGAGTTATCCATGAAAGGTATACTGTCCATGTGAATGGCAAGCAGTCATTATGACAAGTGAGCACTATTCCGCACCCAGTGAAGTCCTTGCTGAGTGTACTGAACTAAATGCTCCATACTGCTGTGCAAGGTGATAGGCCCCATCAATGCATCCAAGTCATTAAAAAAATCTGCAGGAAAAAAAAAGATTCAGCATCAGAAGAGTGAACCTTTATTTGCTACTTGTCACCCTTTAATAGATTTTATTCTCTTGCAAATTGAGTCAAGCTGAACATTTCATGGGAATGAAAGTTTAGCGCTGGTGAGATTAATTTTAAAGCGCCGTGGTTCATGATGTTACAGGCTGATGCACAACAATTTTCTTTTTAAAGAACAAAACAGTTCTTCAGCTTTGCTTTTCAATAATTTCCATTGAGTCTTGATAAAGCAAACAGATGCTGGGCAAGATTTATTCTGAGATTAGGGACAAGTAAATCAAAAAGTCTACACACAAGTGTCTAATGATACGTATGTGATATGCTAGATATTTAAGCTACCATGACAAAGAAACAGAGGCCTGTACAGCATGGTCAACTCAGCCTAAGGAGTAATTTGGCTAACTAGATGCTAGGCACTTAGAATCACAGAATGGTTTGGGTTGGAAAGGACCTTAAAGATCACCCAGTTCAAACCTTCGTGCCACGGATAGGGACAATGCAGTTGCCTACTTAGAGGCATGCAGTGCCAATACTCTCAGGCAGTTGATATGTACAGCCTGGACTGGAGATCTAACATAGGATGTACAGGAGACAGAGTGGCAGTGCAGGTACGGACACCTCAAATGGCATTGGGTGGCTGTGGTTAGCCACATGGATTGTATCTCTGTCTCCCTTTCAGGATGAACTGAACAGCACTCTGAACTCTGCTGTTTGTATTGAACAAAGCTCCATCAATTGCAATGGGAGATGAGCCCCCCAACTCACATGTACACACCTACGCTTAGGTGTCCTGTTTTGACTTGAATTCTGCCCTTGTCTCTGCCTTAAATACAAAAATTATCCTGAAAACCAGGGAATAATTTACCATCAAGTCAGATGCTCATGGAAACCATTTCAGAAGAAGGTTTCTTCTGAAGGAGTGAAGGAGTGAAGCACCTCACTGAAGCACCTCACTGCCATTTGTGTACGCTTTGGATGGGGGGAGGGCTAGGAGCTGTTCATTCCTTCTACAGAAATAAATTCTTCTCCTGCTTTTTGACATGGTCTGGCTAAACACATCTCATCCACGTCCACGACTTTGGGGACAAGAAGCTCTTTCTCTCCAGAATGACACAGATGGCAGTGAGTGCCAACCACAGCTATGTCTACGACCGGTCTGTCACAAGTCCTGGCCACCCAAATAAAGGAAAAAATTAGATTCTTCTAAGTGAGACAGCAATCAAAATTGCCTTTTTGGGCTGTTTTGGAACAGACTCTGAACAGGCCAAAGGAGAAAAACACCCCTGCATCCCTACTTTGCAGACAGGTTTCCTATCAAAATAGTTATTTTCCTGATCCAAATCACATAACAGTCTTCTAAAATAGCCCATTGCCTTGCTTCGCTCACCTCTGTTTTCCTTGGCCAAGTTGTCAGCCATCTCCCAGTAGTCATAGCTGTGGAGGATGCTGTTGGTGATGCTGACGTGGTTGGCGGCCATCTGATGAATGCGCTGAGGAATGCTGATGATAGGAGATGGGGAAGGGGCCCCTGTGCTCCCCTGGGATCCTACAGAGCTGACTGGAGATGGGCTGGGGGACATAGGTGATGGAGTTCCTGTGCTCCTAGAAACAGATGTTAATACAGTTATTTAAAAGGTGTTGGGATTAAAATCACCAGAGTATCAGACTCTACTGCAGGTAAGAAAACATGATTTCTGACTGCCAATCTGATGTAAGTTTCTGTGCAACTTACTTTCCACTGGCACCCCAAGGAGACGGGTTCTGGGCAGCTTTTGATGAATTCTGGAAAGGAAAGAGTAATTCACAATGTATATAATTTATATAAGACTAAAAAATGAAAATATTAAAGAGCGTAAAAATACAGAAATGTAAAGAAAATGAGGCAATTGCATCTCATGATGCAATAAACTCAGTCAGCCTATTTTGGTGTTGTGATGAAGCACTGCTGCAGAACAGACTTGAAGCATAGTCTATTAAACATCCTGGGACAGGGGCTGATTAGGAAAACACATTAGCTGAAATGGAACCTTTCCACAGAAATCCTGGGAATTCAGAAAAGTGATGTCAGGACTCTGTGAAGTTTAGGCTGGAATTTCTTGTGATGGAGAAAATCAGAAAGCTTTCCTCCTACTCTCCTGCCCCCACTGACAAATGTCATTCCTCTAGGACCTTCAAGACTGCAAGTCTGCTCAGCTTGGCTGACCACAGGGATGTAAATCGGGGCTCCCTCAGCTCAGGTAGCTGTTCTAACCACGAGGCTCAAGAATCTCCCTCACGATTGCTCCTCTTGAGCTGTTTCCCTTGCTCTGAACACAGCAGCATTCACAGGGTTAGAGAGACTGCCTGTGTAGACTGGTGGTTTTCCTAGCTGAAGGATTCCCCCCCAGAACTCCCCAGAAGGGGACATTAGGTCATTTAGTGTATACCTGGAGCCATTAAGACTCTATCTGGTATACTTCCTTAGACTAAAAAATTTCATTGCTTGCGGAGAGATCACCTTGTACGAGCACTGCATATACAGAGCAGGAGAAACTGAGGTATCAGCAGTAATGGAGACTGGATACATGAAATGATTCTAGTAGTTAACCTGCAAGAGCTGAGGGGAATTTACTGGCAGGTTCCTGCCCACTTGACCTGTGGAAAAACTCCTCCCCTCTCTCAGGTGCAGTAACTGATTTAATCCTGGGCCTGTGAGACAGAAGGATGTAAAAACCAGAAGTCTAAGAAACCAAGCTTTGCTAGACCATCCCATCCACAACCTCATATTGAGCAATGGCCAGGCTTTGATTCTTTAGAGGAAACTGACCTCCTTGCACTCTCCCCTGAAACCGCACATGCAGGTAATTGTGTGCTGGAGAACAACCTTCCCTTCTTGACATCCATGGGAGATCAAGCAAAGTCCTGCAACTTGAGATCTGTTTATGGATATTGTTTTAAATGCAAGGCTGCAGGTGTTGTAAACTGCAGGAGTTACAAGCAGTAACAGAAGTACAAAAACTCTTGGTCTCTCATGGCTTAGGAAGGAAAAATGGTAATCAGATGTTCAGGGATTTCAAGCCAGGAGTAATCCTCCAGGGCAGGTACTCTGCAATTTCTGTTTTCCACCAATCATGGAGCTTTTACAAGAAGCTAAATTACTTTTGAACTTTATTTTATTCTTTTTAAAAGGGATAGCTAGCCATATAGAAATCCTAAGACACTATTTATCTTCCTTGTTGTCCTGTGTCCTGTTTTAGTGTTTTGCAGGCCTCACAGTTAGAAAAACAGACACTGTATCTCAGTTTTAAGACTGAATTTTCCCAACTTCAGTGCTAGCTTTTGGATTTTGTTGTTCCAATACCAGCAAAACTGCACGTCGCTCGGTATTATCAGTTCCACTTTCATATACACAATGATTATATCCTCTCTTAATCTGTTCTGCATTAAGCTGGACATATCTCCTGAGCCTCTCTTCAAATATGTTTGTTGTTTCAGTTTTGATGTGCCCTCTGAATTGCATCTTGGGTTCCCATATCTTTCATGGGCACCCCAACACTGGCTGTATTTTAGCAGTGATCATACCAGTACCAGGTGTGTGCCCTGGCATTCTTCCTGCATTTTGACACTGGCCTTCCATGTCCCAGGTAAATGATATGACAAGTGAGCTTTTGGGTTTTTGGGTTTTTTTTGGCAGGAAAGGCTAATGTGTGAAAAGAAAAGGAAAAGTTTTCATTTACCATCCTAAATAGAACCAACGTGGGAATCCTTGGCAGTCGTTCTTCCTGCAGAATAGTTTCATTTTTCCCCCCCTTTCTTTTCTGATCTGTCGCAGATCTACCGGCCTTCATCTTTCTAGTGTAATGGAAACTGAGTATACTTGCAGAGTTGGAGGCAGGAAAATATGGAAATCAAAGTGGAGTCAAGGATACTTCTACTGTACATGTAACCAACCCTGCCTTACTGTACAACTTCCCCCACATCTTTTTTTTCTCATGTTTTAGGTATATTGTCCAGCTTTATCTCAGTTCTGCACCAGAAAGGTGGGGGTAAGGATTTGAAACAGTGTGATGTTGTAAGGGACCATCTCTTATCCCACTTTGCCTACTGCTAACCATTCTCCTGGTTTCTTTATACTTTCAAATGTGCCTGCCCCCTGAATATCTGTGCCTTCTTTTTAATTCTCTGCTGCATTAGTTTTTTTTATAATGGAAATAAAACACTTAAAAGGAGATTTAAATAATAATTTTTTATTTTCTAAATGAAAAGTGTGTCTAATTTTCCCTGCAAACGTGTGTGACAAGGTTTAAAATCTTTCTTTGATTGATAATATATGTGGAAGTTCTTAATGCAGTCAGCATTTCATGTAACTTGGTTTTGAAAGCTTTTAGATACCAAATATGAAAGGAGTAGAGAATTGGCTTGTTTTCCACTGAAAATTATAGCAAATGGATCTTTTTTCCATTTTTACTTTCAAAGGTGAGAATACTTTCTAATGTGAAACTACGCTATCATTATATCAGCAGGAGCTCTGAAAAAAAACAAGCTCTTCTTGACTACAGCAGAGTGTAAGTCCATTTTATGTTTTCTGTGAAACAGTTTCTGTCTGCTAGTAGGAGACATTTTACATGGTTGAGAGCCTGACCATCCTTTTCTTAATGCAGCTATTCTCTGAACTGGTAAAGAAAAATAAAGTACTGTAATAGGCACATATTTCTTTCCCCTGAAATCAAGTAATTGTTAGAGAAACATAACGTGTTGAGTTATATATCTTGCAAAATTTTTTAAGCAATTACATTGACTTCAATTTCTATTTGACAATAACGGATCTGTCAATTCCGTTCACTGTCTTCACATGTTCAGAATCTGGTCATGAGCGTTCGTGCTTGTATTTGAATTTTTTTATTAACAAAATGTCAAAGGATGGATGTTTTTCATTTCAAGATTTCTCAGTCTGCAAAAAACCCCACTAGATGAGCCCTGGGTTCAAAGACTGTTCAGGTCCCCCAAAGCAGTTTGTCTTAAAGTACTTGTACGTTCATACTTTTTTTAAAAATTAGGATGATAAAGGCTTATTTTTGTGTACATCAAATGCTGGATGGATTGACTGCTAGGTGAGCTCCACCTGGAAGGTTTTGCTCTTGACGTGCTTTCCAGGGAAAGGTTGCCTGTCAAAATATATTAAAATAATACTTCTGGTCTTTTTCAAAATAACCAGCGTTTGGACTTGGCAGAGAGTGAAAACCAGAAGCAGGAGAAGCAAAGTAGGAAGGAGAAGCCAACAGTGCTGTGTCAAGTACATGGCAGGTGGTCTTTCTGCCCTCTGATGCTTCTGTACAACTCCCACTGAAGACAGCATGGGCTCTTTGACGGTTGCTTGGGTAAGAAGATGGTCCCACTGCACTGTCCTTTCTATCAATTCTGCTGAGTGGAAGCCCTGCATCTGAGGACTGATCTAAATCAAAGTCTTCAACTCACAGGTAGTCTAGTGGGAGGTGTTATCCTGGAGGGGATTCTCAGAGCAAAATCTGCAAAACCTATTCACAACAGAGCAGGACAATTGACCAAGAATAATCTGAAAGTACCTGTTTGTTAGTACATTTATCATCCTTTGTGAAGGGACACAGTATGTATTTTTCAGAGAGGGGCCCTTGTGAAGACAACAGAACTGACTAGAGATCAGGTGTTGCCATGGGAGTCTATGGTAAAACTCCACTGACTTCACAGGGGAAAAAACTCAGCCCAGCACAGCTACTGTTTTAGTACAATGCTCTGTCCCCTGTAATGATACATTGATCTAAAACCATGCCATAAGTAATGCACCTTGAAATACTCAATAAGCGCTTTTGAATACTTGACCGCGTGGTCTCTCTTGAGTCGGAACATCCTCCAGTACAGAAGAGCCAGGCAGCGGTAACTAGAATATAAGGGAGAGCAGAAGGTAAAGGGTGACCCCTAAACAGAAATCCCAATGGATTGGCAACTGTGGGAATGCCCCACAGTAACACCACTTTCAAAGCAAAAACCTAGTGTGTTTTGCTTTTCCTCTCGCAGCAGAGGCCTTATTTTTAAAAACAGTATTTAGTCCTGGAGCCAACCCGGAGCAGCAGAAGGTGCCGTGAGTTTGGAGGTGCAGACCTCTCCCCACCTCCCCGTGCCCAGGAGCTGCCCAAACCTCAGTGAACCCCTTAATTAGCAAACTGCTCCTGAAAAAAACAGTGCCGGCCAGGGTTGATCAGCCTGCCAGTCTCCTGTCCTGAGAGCCGGCGGTGAAATCCCGGCTGTGGCCGCTGGAGGACAGTGTCTCCCCAGGAGAAGCCGGGCCGGGAGCGGGCCGGGCTGGCAGCCTGCCTGGCGGGCGCCGGGAGCAGCCGGGGGATGCGGCGGCCTCGCAGCCTCAACCATCACTCTCCCTCTGTCACCTTCACAGGTACAGCACATATGCAAATGGTGTCAGCTCATCTGCCGGCTGGCAGACGGTGAGTTAGGATTGCCATTCATCGCCCAGAGAAGGCTCCGTCTGCTTTCCCTCGCGCTGACCTTTCTGCTGCTGAAACAGATGCAGCAGCTCCCTGAATTTGGATGTGGTTCCTCACACACCGAAGCGCTCCAGCAGTTCTCAGCAAGCCTTCCTAATACGGCTTTAAATATTCTTTTTTAACCATTCTTTAGTCATTCTCCCACCCAAGCATTTTTAAAGCAACTGCCATTAATGCATTCTGTGCGCCTGCCGATGACACAGGAAACCAGTGACAGAGAAAGGGCATTGAAAAAAAAATAGTAACTCTGAATATTTTTTCCTTTTTATACAAATGATTAATTAGGGCTCCTTATTTATGGAAGCTAAAGATGCAATTTCATTTGGATTTTTAACAGATGGTTAATAGATGTTAAAAACACACTTGCTGATTGTAAATGTCCACTTACTGAGACTCACTAACCATGTAATAGGTATTTTATGTATTAACTACATAGATATTAAATTAAAATTTGATTTAAATAACATTCTACTACTTTACTAGCAATCAGCAAGCATCCTATAGAATCTAAGGCGCTTACATATATATCTAGAAAACTCAATTTAGTAGATAATCTAAGAGGCTTAATTATCCCCATCACCATATTGCCCTTCATATAATATAAATATAATTTATGATTATTGAGCCTAAAATGTCAGCCACAAAAGAACTTAGTGAGCTATTGGTACAAAAGTACATCACTCATAAAAACAACAAACCATCAGGCATTTAAAAATTAATTACACTGACATACCATAGCCAACCTGTCACAGTCAATAAATAAGTATGAATTGCTTATATACAGAGACAGAATGCAGACCTGGTACAGTGATACAAGGGCTGGACCTTCCCAGAGCAGAAAGTATTCTCTTAATTTCAATAGAGAACATCATTCTATCTGGCTGCGTCCAGCATCTGATTTTCAAGAACTGGCTCACTGCAGAAAAGAAGCCTTTTGAGGAAAGCTTGATCTACTAACCATAATGCTGCCAGCTGTTTGTCTTCTGGCGTGGCGTTGGGGCCTGAGTGGGTTTTTAGTCTCACTGCATACCTTAAGCAAAAGGGAAAAAGCCAATGTGAGTTAACCGAGACAGCTTTATATTACTGATTAGAGAGCTAAGCTGGCCAATGTAATTTGGTCTGCCCCTTATACTTATTTGCTTAAGTTACCAGACATACATATGTTTCTTCTGGTTGTGTTTCAGAGCTATTTTGCCATTAGCGTGCCTCCCTGCACACTTTAAACAGCAGTAACTCCCTGGAACATCCGTCAGTCCAGAGGAGAGCCTAGCTGTTGAGGTGACACCGTCTTACCAAAATAACCTCTGCTGCTGCAGAGACCCAGTTACACAGAGTTCATGCAGAAAGGTTTTCAGAGCATTTCAAGGCAGACAGCCTGCCTGGAAGCTGGTGCTGACCTCACCCTGCCAGTTCTGAGCGTGTCTACCCCGATTTGCTCCTCCGAGCAGAGCACAGCATAGGGGGAACATGTGGCTCAGAGCTATTTTTGCTCATATGACATTACATTCAAATTCTATAAATATTAAACATCCACAGAGGTAGCACTGCTGTTTCAAGAGTGTATGTGCTATGCAATCACAAATTGGTTTCTGGAAATCTCAGCTTCCAGCTGAATACCTGAACAACACACAAGGTTAGGACAACACAGAGTGCTTCTGGGCTTACTTCCAGAAAAATACCTGTTTCCCATAATTAGCTGCTTGTGATTTTTTTCTTACCTTTGCTTTCAGACTTTAATCTTGATATCTGTGCCAAAATTCAGCATGAACATTTTGTTTCTACAGGCATACCTAGCAAACCACTTATTTTTCTGAGCTGCAGAAAGTGAGATCAACAGCAATTCACACTACAACACAACCACAGCTACACATATTATTGAAAGCTATGGATCTGCAAGCAAAATTCATTTCCAGAGTTAGGATCATATATTTACTACCATGAGAAAAGACAGAGCAGACAAGAAAGAGCTTTCTGCCTTTTGAAAAAAAAAAAAGAGAAGAATTGCAGACATGGGGGGAAAAAAAGGAAGGGAAGAATTGCAGAGATGGAATGTACTATTCTTTTACAGAAAAAAACCTATTTGATTTTGTTCAATAACCTCCTAGTTAGAAAGCTGGCCTCAATCCACTGAAATGCATCAGAAGACAACCCTAAGTGGAATAAAATGCCAGTGGAATTATTAACATGCGAGAAAATTTTCGCATCAACACTAAGTCCAAAATAATGCGTTTGTTTTAGAAGCTTCAATCCATTATGAATATTATTAAAAACTTAATCCTGATGAGAGCTGCATGGTTGACTGTCCTGAGGAACGATGCTGTGGTCACTGGCAGTGCAACTTTCTCTGCTAGTGTGTCACTCTCTTGCAGAGAGTCCTTCAGCTGCTGGGATGATTTTGATCTTTGTTTTCTCTACCAGCACTGCCAATAACGTTAATGGTCATTACCAACTGTAATGGAGAAAAAGACTTTAGAGACATATTTTCTTCATAGGGATTGTGGATGGGACAGAATTCTACACTGTACTGTTTAGAGAGCCATGAAGGTGACTAAAAGTAGGGGTGGCTTTAGGGTGAGCTGGGCTGCTTTTGGGACTCCACTGGCTACATTAGGAGCAGTCACACACCAAGTGGACTTTGAGTGTCCATTTTTTTATCCCTGTTGACATCATCTTTCAGGTAACCTTTAAACAGCAATCTTAAAACAGATTGCAAGATTTTTCAAACTACCATTCTATGAGAGTGTTTTGTTATTATGGATTACTATTTTTCTCTATTTAGTAGCTTGGGACTTACATCATGACACTCTTGAAGTAATTTGCAGCTCAAGTAATATGAAAGTATTTGGGTGCCAGTTTTTTTTGTTCTGTTTTTTTTTTTCCATTTTTTTTATTCTTCAAAGTTTCCTGATTTAATTTCTAAAGAAATCACAGATAATACATAAACATTACATATGAGGATTTCACTTCTCCCCTTTTCCTGTATGTGGAAACTATGTGATAATGCAGATGAGCATGTTTGCACAGAGATCATCAACCCCTGAGATCATCTCCTCCCTTTCCTACCTGATGAGTTCAACTGTTTCTGAATACATGGTATAAGGGGATTTAGATTCCATTGGGCCTTGTTCCATTGCATTTCCGCACTCAATAAACGATAGCGCTGCCTCTGCATAATTCAGTGCCTTTCCAAACTTCTCCACCTAGAGGGAAAAAATAAGGACACAGAGAAATAATGTAATCATCAAGATGTGCTTACATTTCATGGGATTTTCTCAACATAAATTGTAAACTTGACACAAGTTTGTATATCTTCAGAATCACATTTTTTTCTGTGAGAAAGCTAAAACCCATCAAACTCTGTGCATGAGTGAAAACCATGCAGAAGATACAGAAAGCAGAGCTGAAAAAAGCTCTGAGGTATTATTTGTTCAACACTTTTGTGTCCAAAGAAGGATCAGGTGTGCCTAGGACATTCCTGACAAGTGTTTGTCAAAGCTCTTCCAGTGCTGGAAATTCCACAAACTCATCAGGCCTTTTGTTCAAGCTTTCATTAAAAAGGGTTTCACACATCTTTGCAGATGTAATTTTTTATCACCCAACAAAGAAAGGTAAATGAAACCCTGAACTAAGAGAAGAGAATTAAATACTTTGACTACTAACTCATATACAAAGGCTCATTTCTGTTATCCTGTCTTCTTTATCCCTACCATTTTCAGCACTGCTCTCCTCTTGTCAGGAATTTGCTTTCTATATCCTCCTCTTTCAGGAGGATATGCTGCTCCCTCGGCATCTTCTGAGATCCTCTTTCCTTGTCCCATTTCTTCTCCTATTTTTGGTACTTCTTTGACTCTCTGTGTATATTTTTGTACTTATAGGCATATATGTGCATATATATGTCCTCAGTGACAGTGTATATGCAAATATACACATGATGTTCATATGTGTACACTTACATACCGCTTATCCGCTCTCAGAATTTCATTTTTGATGTGAAAGGAGAATCATACTAATACCTCTCTGTCCTGACTTCTTTCTCCTTCAGTCACAACTCCTGCGGTACATAAAGCCTATTAATGGACTGGATGTATTTGGCTGAAATCTGATGCACACAGTGAAAGGTTAATGGACCTTATTCTTTTCCAAGGGATAAAGATTTTAAATAGTAACTTTGGAATGGCACACTGGCTTCAATCTATTTTAGGTTCTTATATGACTCCCATTGCGATCATAGCAGAGAACTTCACAAACTTTTTATTGTATTTCTCTCCCTGATGCTCCAGTGGAGGTGGAAGTGCTATTATCCCAATTTCACAGATGGAGGACTGAGGAGCAGAGAGACTTAGAGAGATTTTCAGGCTGCTCACTCTAAGTGCCTGTGTTAAGTAATGCAGTGCCAAAGTAGGTGGTGTTGAGCCCAGCAAGGTGATTCGAAGTGCCTGAAGGCACTTTGGCAATATGGCATTTTCTTCGGGATGCCTACACAGCCAGAGAGGGAAAGGAAGTACCTGCAAAGGGCAATTCACAAGGTGTAAGTAAGGTGCTGGTCCACTGTATAGGGAAGCTGAATGTGGAGGATATTTCAACCACCTAATACTGATAGGAAGCTATTCAAACTGTGTCTAGGTGACTTTCATGCAGGGAACTTCTGGCAGAGCAGAGAATAATGCTTGCAACTCCTTTTTCTGGGAGTCTACCATAAAAACATTTCTCTCCAGGCTAAGAATTTCCTTTGCATATTAAGTGATCTTTTCCATTCTGTTTAAAGCAACACACTGAATTGCACCATTTGTACTTCTCCACAATATTTTCTGATTTAAGACTCACTTTAAAGTAATATGGAACTGAATAAACCATGGAAATTTGTGCTAATAAACTCAGGTAGAGTGTAAAACTCGGTGTTAGTGTCCTAAATTAAGGGCCTGCTTCTGCTTTCATGGCCTTTTTACATTCTGCACAGCTGAGAAAAAAAAGGTGAAGAAACAGAGGTTCTGAGCTACCTTTCTTCTTTCCTGATGCTCTGACAGCAGTGTTTGACTGACAGAGCAAGGCAGGAATGCAGCTACTCCCACCTGCAAGACAGCCACACTAATGCAGGGTTCCACTCCATATACTGCCATCCCAGAGACCTCATGTCGCTGGCTTATCCATGGTGCTGGAGAACACAGCCTTGGAGAAAGCTGAAGGACAGCTAAGCAGAGCTCTCCTGGAGCCCTGTATACTTTCTTGCACCCATTTGTCTGGAAAGACAAGTTTAGTGCTCCATAGAACCTCAGATTCCCCTTTTTCTTACTGGCTACATTTTTAGACAGGTCAAAGCCAGGGCCAAGAATCTGTTTGTTGCAACAATACTTTGTGTGCTAGGTGCTCCTCTAGGGTTGCATAGATTCCTTGTGTGCTTCTGATTATGTCCAGAAACATCTGCCATGAAACCAGGGTTGTTCTGGCACTGAAAAGCCGAAACTCTTCAAAAAAAAGTACAAATACCTCAGCCACCACATCAGATTTGGGGATGCAATTATAGGACCTAGTCAGCTACTTAAACTGAGAAGATAGGCATGTGGATCTCTTACACAGCCTCCATTACTATAGTTACTAATTAAAGCAAAGGGATAAACAGAAAGTTTTATTTATCCAGGCCTTTATCTCAGTAAGTCATTATTTGTTAAGTCATAGTTTATTGGGCTATGAACATTTGATTATATAAACATTTCTTAATTTAACAAGCCTAGCCATCCTTATAATAGATTTTATAATTACCCCAGCAATACTGTGCTGATGAAGAAAGTGCATCACAAAAATAATTTGCAGCAATGTAACTGGAAAGAAAATGTTCTCACCATTGCATCTGCTTTATGCTTCTTCCGTTTAGCTTCCTGCATAAAGTAATCTGCATTGCGTGGCCTATCAGGGGAAAATAAGAAGACATTTTATTATTTTCTGAAGTGCAGAATATTTTAAAGCTATTTTCCCCTTATTTTAAACCTGATTTGCAAATATTTTTTATGAAGAAAATACACTTATTGTGTAACCATGGATCTTCTATTTTCAAATTGCTGCCTGTGGAGACAATAGCATTTATGGCTGTTCTCATTCTTTAGAAGTCAGTGATTCAAAGTAAAAAAAAAGCTAATAAAATGCATTTTTATGGATTATATAAACTGCTTCCCAAATTAGTGCAGTTCTGATCTGCAAAACGGATATAAGCATTAAATGGAACAAGATATTCTGTCTCTTCTTCTCCCTGGTGCCTGCTTACCTCTTTTTCTATTCCTCTCTGTACATTGTTATTTGCCTTGGCTTCACCCCCCTCTTAAAACAAGTGTGTGTTTAATCTCTCCACTTTGAAAACACACATTGAACCTGCTTGCCTCCACAGCTACCATCTCACTCTTCTCCCTCTTATCTGTAAGCATGCTGAGAGTGCTGTTTACTTTTGCTGCCTGGAGTTCATTTCCGACTTAGTGCTGGGCTGCCTGCTGCAATTCCATTGGCGTTCCTAGTGCCAATTTCTCCATTGATTTCTCCTCAAACAGATCTTGGAAATTCCATCCCTTCCTTAACCTACCTAACCTGCAGGGCACAAATTCAACTTCTCTCTCTGTCCCTAAATTCACAAGTCCATTTGTGATCCAGATTTATCCACTCCCATTCAAATGCAAAACAAACTGATGTCTCCTTGTCACCACTTCAGTGAGCTCCTCGTGGCTGAAGCAAATTTTTTCGTCTCCTCCTACAAGCTCTCCCTATGGCACCTTTCTCAGTCACTATGGAGAACAGCCATTTGCCAGGTCACTTCAGACTGTAATCTTGCACCTGTAGTTGTTGCCTCTCATACAAGTCTTCACATTTCCTGACTCTGCAGATTCTTCCAGTCTCATATACGTGGGAGGTGACCTTCTTCTTTCTCTACTCAGCTAAAACATGTCCTGGTTCTTCTCAGCTTATACTGTGGTTAATGCCACATCTTCCTCTCTCTCAGAGAGGGAAGTTTTGTCTTGCAAAATAGTTTTCTCAGTATTGGTTAGAGTGTCATCCCTTTGTCCTTATCTAAAGAAAATGAGATATTCCTGAGTAGTCTGAGTTCTGATGTTTTTACCATTCATCTGTTGTACATTAACTCCAATGGGCAGCTCAGCTTCACACAGCTAATCACTCACTTCCCTCCAGTGGAATGGGGGAGAGAATCAAAAGGGTAAAAGTGTAGAAGAGTATAAGTGAGAAAACTTGTGCACTGAGACAAAGGCCATCTCACGGAAAGCAGGGCTTCAATGTGCTTGACAGTGACTTGGGCAGATAAATGCCATCACTCTGAACATCCCCTCTTTCTCCTTCTTCCCCGAGCTCTTTCTGGCTGAGCATGACACCATATGGTGTGGTCAGCTGGGGTCAGCTCTCCCAGCTGTGTCCCCTCCCCACTCCTTGTGCACCCCCAGCCTGCTTGGTGGGGTGGGGTGAGAGGCAGAAAAGGCCTTGAGGTTGTGCTAGTGCTGCTCAACAATACTAAAGCATCTCTGTATTATCAACACTGTTTTGGTTATGGATCCAGTACAGAGCACTGTAGGAGATATTATGAAGAAAATTAACTCTATCCCAGTCCAAACCAGTCCACATTCGTAACTATTTTTTTTCTTGAAATTGGGATTTCTCTGCACGTGTGTTTAACAAAATGTTTTGTGTCAGCCAGAGAAGATGCAGATCTGAAAAGTGAAGTCAGAGGAATGAGTGAGTAAAACTTTCTTGCTGATAGCAGTAAGAACATGCTCAGATTCATAACTGAGATCAGTGGGGGTACAGAGGAGCCTATTGCCAAAAGAGCACAGCCATATAACTTCCTTAAGAACACAAGGCTATTTGGCAGTGTGTTTACTTTGTCTGTTTCTTTCTACTGATGTGCATACTGTTTTAAGGACAGTTAATTGTATCAGAGAAGGTTAGTCAACCTTATTTTGAAGAGAAGAAAGGCTAAATATAACTAGATGGAAATGAAATTCAAAGTCTGCCTACTTTAGAATGATTTCTGTCCTAAAAAACTGATTGATATGAAAAACAGTTCCTTTGTTCCAACTTTTTATAAAATATTATTCTCCACAGAGTGAAATTTCACCCCAGCTTACTCTACCTAGTAGGTCAGCAAGGGGACTAAAGACAGGTTTGTGTCCCAGGATCTCATAACCTACTACAGCTGCAAATACTTCCTGTGTGCAAAAAGATGCTAATATTATCTTAATAATGAGAACTATCTGAATTTGGTCTTGGTCAATTATGAAATATTACACATTGAAACAGTGTTAGTTAGATACAGAAAAATAGCTACGTTTTCAGAAACACAAAAGGAATTCTTAAAAAAATGTTTTGTCTCTCTTTGTCTTGTGCAATGACCTAAGTAAGATGATTTACTATGAAGTACAAAAAAGCAAAGCAAGGCAGAGCAACAAACCAGTGGTCTCATCTATCTGAAATGTTCGAAGTGATGAACCTTTACATGAGCCTTTCAAACTCAGGTCATTAAAATACATCCTTTGCAACATTCCGTCCTAAATATCACCCAGCACTGTATGTCTAATTTCCTTCTTTGAAGCATGGCAAGAGGCTGTAAAAACAATGTGAGATAACACAATGTAATTATGGTTGGCTTATTTATAAGTTAATTGTAAAATGATTTTCAACTTGCAGCAGGTTTTATTCTCCCACGTTATGATTAGCTATGGGGTATTAGCACGAATATGAACATTACTGAACCAAGAAGCCTGCTTTGAGGGCCCTGCTGAGGGGTGGGTTAAGTGTAACACAAAAACTGAAGTCATCAGTTTGTACTAAGTCCAATTGTTGTTTGTGAAGTCTCATATAAAAAAGAGAAGCTATTAAAATGCCATGTTAAAACAAAGCATATATATTCTCCATGTGAATATTTAGGTATTTCCATGGGAAAAATACAAAACTGATTTAGAAATCAGGGGATGCCTAACAGAAATTAAGATGCATTGGGATAAAATGGATAGACTATCATTAGCTTTTTAAACAGAACTTGTTCAGTAGTGTTAATAAACATACCCAGTCAAATTCTGGTATCCTCATTCAATCTATCACTACATCTTAATAACCTTTATATTCAGATAACTAACGTGCATGTTGGGTGAAAATGGGAAGCTGAAATGTCCTATAGATTCAATGCATGGTTTTGTACACTGTATAAATTTCTTATATCATTTTAATAACAAAATAGTTTAAATTATTATGCCATGAAGTAGAAAAAGCAGAAAAAAACCCCTCTCCTATGGGCTTCTTGAAGATAAGAGGTTGCCTCAGCTCATGGACATATGAAGACACATGAGAAAACTGATGCATAAATTAATTATTCAGGATAGCTCTTTTGCATACTGCACATTTTGTATCTATGAAGTTCATAAAAAAATTGTTAATCTTATTCTGATTTTACAGACTCTGAAGTTATAGTGACCTGGTGACCAAGCACCCATCTCTTGTTACAAACATGAAGGTTCATCCAAATTTCCTCTGCAGCTTGGCTTATTTAGTTACACTGGTGATAATCTCAGACTGGAAAATTTGCAGGCAATCTCACTGGATGCTTATTTCAGATCCTGTGTGTTGTTGACAAGAGGCATTTGGAGGAGAAACAAATCTGTTTTCCCACTGAAGACACTCAGAAAGGTCTGTGGCTAAAACCCTTTTCAGGTCTTTGGTCTCAACTTCACAAAGCCCCTGCAGATGACAGCCTTGCTACAGCCTGAGAAGAGAGAGAATAGAAAAATTTCTACAGGGTTAAAATGGTACTAGGATATTGGTCAAACTGGAGTGGCTGTGATGAGCAGAAGCAGCACTGGAATCTCTTTGTTAGGCTTACTTGTCATGAATGTAAACTGAAGTCCCAAGGAAAGTTATTCAGTGATTTCTGGTTTTCAGACAATTGAGTCAGACTCTTCTTGTAAGTTATTTACAAGTGTATGAATCTACTGAGATCAGCACTGTCACTCCAGACTTACAAAGATAATTCAGACCTCTTAAAAAAAAAATTAAAAAGAAGTCTGACTTCAAATTAACAGGTAGAAACAAGTGTTTTATCTCTATTAATAATCTCGACTGCACAAGAAAGTCTTTTGTTTCTGAATATCTGATTGTTGGTACTTTTAGAAATATAGTCCTCTTCAATAAAGCCAAAAAGGAGTTCTAATACACTGCTCTAATGCATCTCATATATCTCTCTGAAAGGCAAGAGAAAGAGCGTAAAGCATCAGTGCCAACTAAGTCAGGCTGCTGGTGAATTCTCCCTGGGATCAAGTGTCATTATGTGAAACTGGCTGCTCTCGAGGAGAATTTACCCTACTACGTTGATTGGGGAAAGCAATCAAGTACCGCTGGAACCATTTCAACACATTCTCAGTCAACACTAGCCAGTCACCTAGGCACTGCAACAGAATCCAGCCTTTTACAGAATAACCCCCCCACGGCTAGATCTGATAGTACAAACAAGGCCAGGCTTCCTTTTCAGCAGCGGCATTCAAACCATTTATGACTTTGACAAGGGCAGCCTCAGTAGCATGGCTGGGGCTGAATCCAGGATGAAATTTATCAAACAATCCGCTACTGTCCAGAATTTCTCTCACTTGCCTTGGCACCACTTTCTCTGGGAGCCTGTCGAAAACCAGCGGGAAAGACAGCATTTCCATTGCTTGTAATGTTGTGCGGGATCCCAGCATGAGGTGAGATGGCTGTGGGCATCGTAATTACTCCCCTCCCAGAAGCAGCCTTTCAGAATTTCTGGGCTGTTGAGCTCCTAAGAATGGTGTTACCATTACCCAGGTGAAATGCTTTTGTATGTGTATATGGTTCTCTCATCCTATTTAGCTCCATGCCATTACAGTGCATCTCTGCCCCCTTTGTCT